GGTTTCAAAAACCCATGAAAACACATCAGATTTCCTCGCTCAGGACAACATCTACAGATAAAGATTTCGTTCACGGGTAGCAGGAGGTGTCGGGCAGCCTTGGAGATAAGAGCTGTAGGCTTTAGAATCTCTGGGGAGTGGTAGGCTGAGACCAGAGGAGAAAGACAGAAGGGATTTGGAAAGATCTGAAGAGGCTCATCCTGCTGAGGGAGGGTGGGGCCAAGCTGTTGGTCAAGTATCAACTTTGAAAGCTTCCCTGTGTCTCTTCAACGTTTTCCAATGTGGGGAATGCATTGTTTCTATTAAGAGGGCTTTTCCTTCAGCAGTCTTTTTCCAAGTGTTTCCTCTGTACACACTGTTTCTGAGCAATGAGAGTGAACAGCAGAGAAGAGGTCAGCACAATGCAACCGGACACTTAGGTCCAGAGCTCAGAATAGCCCCAGCTCCGGACCTGGCCCCTCCCTTCCCATAGGATAGGTTTTGATTCACTCCTTCTCTGCAATTATAGTTTTGAACTCTGTAATTATTAACAGATGTTTACCAGGCCCCACCTTTTTCTTTAGAACACTACCTTCCTCCAATACACATGAACAGAGCATCGCAATATCCTCTAGTTAAAACTAGCTTAAGTCATTATGATTTCATGTCTGTAAAATGTTGAGGTCCTGACCTCCAAAAAGACAAAAGCCACCATTTCATCATTTTAGTCTATTTTCAAAACATAGACCAGAACAATAAGAGGGGTTTAGAGAGAGAAGTTTTAATGCCTCCTTTTTCTTATCACTTCAAATATATAGGCATTGTAAAACTGAAAATGATCCTTGTAAAATCAAACAGGATACCAAGGATAAGATAGAGACCATATCATACAACCTGACTTTAAGTACTAAGAACAAAATACTAACTAAAAATATGAGCACATTTTTGAGAATGATATAATTTTGCATGTGTTTTACTTAGTTCATATTCTATATTGATGAATGCATCCTTTGTTCTAACAAATATTGGGTGGTTGTGCACTCAGCCCCAAATACTGTCCTATACTTCCAAAATGTATTTCGTTGAAAAGACCTCATGATAAATTCCAGAATTTGCAACAATACTCTCTTTCTGAATGAACATGGAGGTGAGGGGGGACTTCTCGGATTATTTCAGCCTTTGACAGGTGGGAGCACACTTCCTGTGGAACTCAGCTTTGAAGTGGAGGGAAAACACCACAATACAGCCTTAACTGCTCTGAGAGAGCACCGACCAAGCTCCAACCAAGCTCCAGCTACATCGACATTTCAGACCATATTGTCCTGCTGTTCTTTATGTTTCCTGAGTTGCTAGTTGGACTCAAAGTTAAGGAGAGGCTCCTCCTCATGAAGTCAGAGCTGCCAAGGCCGCTGGGGAGTTACCTAGGCCAGCAGAGCCAAGGCCTTATCTCAAAGGATAAGGTGGAGTTTGCTCTTTTCCCCTATTGCGAAATATGAGAATATTAAGTAATCTGTTTATATCACATGGATCCAAAATCCAAGCTGACTTTATTTTTTGAGACAGGGTCGTTGGGCTGCCCTTGAACTCCTGATCCTCCTGCCTCAGCTTCTCAAGTGCTGAGATTACAGATACATACCACTAAGGCCATCCCCAAGGTGTCTTTTTTTATAACCTATACAATTTCCTCTGGGGGAAAAACAACTATCCATACAATTTCCTCGGGGGGGGGGGGGGGGGAGCTACCTCAAACTTGGCTTAACCAACAAAACCTGGCAATTTCCCCTGAAATCAAACCCAAGTAGTTGTTTCCCATGGTCTAGGCTGCTCTGACAACATCAGTTTATCATCTACTGACTAGTTCTATCCAGAGGTGCCCAAGAAGCAGCTCAGGATTTTGGGTTCAGAGCAGATATCCATGTCCGAATCACAGAACTCTTCCTACAAGTGGATACACTTGGCGCTCAATATGAACTGCCAAGCTACACCCAGTGCAAGGTTAACCAGTGAAGAAACAGATCTAAAAGCTTCCATTTATTTCCAAGATTACAACTGGCACTTGGTTTCCCTTTCAGAATGCCATTAACACATGGGGGAGATTTTATGAAAACAAGGTTCAAGTCTTTAAATATATGTGGCATGGATAAGTTCATTACTTAAACAAAAGATGACTCCTCTCCTGACTCACTCTGCTCTCGGGGAGTTTTGCAGCTGACGGTTCTCTATGAAGACTTTAGGAGGAGGATTAAGTGTTGTGCCGCCCACTGAGAGAAAAGCTGAACAAGGTGAACTGGGGGCACGGTCTGAAGTCTCAGTCGCTGCAGCCCCAGAAGATCATTAGAAGAAGCTCGGAGAGAACCTGGAATCCTTCTGGCCTCAGTGAACTGAATCCAGGCATCCCACCTTGGGGATTCTAAGAACTATCTTTACTATATGAACATGTCAAAGTAACTACAGCTACTAGACCTCAGTTATTAAAACTTAGGAAAATCACTAAAAAGCAAAGTATTTAAGCTTACTTTTGCAAGGTGTGTTGCTAAGGTGACCATGCTTTAGTCGTGGTCATCTTAGCAGGAAAACAAACAATCTTCTGGGGTCAAAGGAAACGTAAGTGTTAATTTACAGGAAAGGTTCTCCAGCTCCTTGTCCTTTGAACTCTCCATCCTGAAGCCCCAGTATTTACTCCCGCTTAAGTGTGTCAAAGACTCAGCTATTCAGGAAGTAACATGTTGTTCCCCATCAATAATGCCTTTTTCTATGAAATTACAATTATGAGATCCACTCACAACCTTGAGAAATATATCCCCACTTAAAAGTCGATCTACATCAGAAGCCAACCACCATCCCTTTCCTCACTCAATCAAGGGACCCACAGATGTGCCATGAACCCTTGGTCCATTTCAGCTTCTCTGTACTCTCACCCAGAGCTAATACTGCATTTGCATGCCCCCAAGCCCGATTTGATGAAGCCAGTTGAGAGAGGAGAGGGCCGAATGGAAGGTACCGAAGGAGAAAGAAGCAGTTCACAACTTCCAACCTGTCTACTGTAGGAATATTTCCACTGTTGGAAGGTCACACCAACTCCACTATAAGCAACCACCATCCTAAAAGGCCTAGGATTCAAATACAGACAACTGAACATGCCTTGAAATAAAAGGGATCGATCACGCACTGGCCAACAATGCAAAAGAGTGACTGTAATGTGGATGCCCTATGAGAACAGAAAGTACAAGCTTCGTGGCCATAAAACCAGCACACTTCTTGCACTGACCCAGGCACCTTCTATAACCTTTGGTTGCCTTTCTGTTTCTCTCCCAAAGAAAGCTGGCTACAGAAGTATGTGTTATTTATATTATGATTTATGCTATGATCAATAGATTAATTTTCTGCTTGAAAATCAAGGGAAATAATTCAGGAAATACACTTTGTAGACAAAGCTTTAAGAACCAGAGGGCAGTCATCTACTGCAGTACTGTGCTGTTGATCCAAAGCACCTCCAGGACTCGAGATTTACATCTCCTGAGAACTCAGCCGGGACCTTGTTCCCAAAGGAGAATGTGTGCACACCGTACATTCCCATTCCCAAGGTTTTTTTCACTTTAATTGTTCTAAAACACCAGCATTTTCATCAAGCCTACATTATTTCTTATGCTCTAACTTGATGACTTTATCTCCTCTTTTACAGTCGGGGGTAATGACAGTGGCTACAATGAGTTTCAGCACTGAAGCAAAGTTTTACCCTTTTGCCTTCCCCAACTTCACATTTTCCCATCGTCACAGTGCAAAAAATGCAAGGAACCCATAAAACAATATGAAAGAAAATACTGCAGTTTCCGTTTTCCTAAGAACCTCCGACATCCAATTCTTGTTAGTCAGTCTCCAGTGCTTAAGTGTAGGAAGCCAGGGGGTGGGGCAGAGGGAGCGCCAATCTTCCAGAGGGCAGAAGAAACTCACTAAAGACACATGAGGAACCACGTAACAACCACTGTGCTGGGGCTGTTCCCAGTAGCACAGGAGCGTGAACACCCTTGACCTGGGGCTCCAGCTGCTTGAAGCATTGCTTCAGAACACACAATTCCACCTCCTCCTTCTCAGCCTCACCATCCTCTTTGCCAAGGCTCTGGGGAGGCACAAGCTAACCAAAGGGACCAGTCAGTCCACAGCCTCCAAAACAGGGGACTGTCTCTCAAGTGACAGTCACAGGAGAAACTAATCACATCGTTCATCTACGAGGTTCCTTGGATGCTACCTCTAACCCTGACTGCCCTATGAAATCTCGTACTAAATACCAATAACAGACTATGTATTTGTGATGCCTTCACATTATTACTTCCAAAATTATTAATGAAGCCCTGCCTTCTCACTACCAATCAAGCAGCACGCCCCTGATGTTCTTGGTAAGTCAGGAGGTGAGGGAAAGAAGCACATACTGAAGTATGTTGGCAGCAGATAAAATAGAACTCTTCTTCAGTTTTAACATTAGTGAAAGAGGTTCCGGGGAGTTTTTAAATGGAAAATGCTTGTCTGTGTTTCCTGAACGAAGACTTGTCCATGACAACCATTCTCATCCCCCTCGGCTTAGACCTGTTTTCCCTACAACAATGATTATCGTTCTCTCCTTCGGCAACATCTGTTTCTCTCCCCCTGTAAGCTCCAAAAAAAGGAATAGTAGAAGGTGCTAACAATTACATTTCTGTAGATCTGGCAGCTCCCTAGAATTATCTAGTAAAACATTCGTTTCTGGTGGAGAGGCAAAGCTAACACAAGCACCTACTTTAAAATAACACCGTAAAAAAAAAAATAGGTCCCAGGTAAGCCCCTGCCGACTTCAATTCTGAGGGTCCGATAAAGTTCTTAGAATTACTTCCTGTGCTGAAGCAAAATGTGGAGATTAAAGAAACTCCACCGGCAAGATTTAGTGTTTAACTTTTAAAATGTTAAGATGTATGAAATATATGAATGCCGTTATCTACAGAGCACATGGATATAATAAATACACACTTTCCCAGACCCAAAGGGCTCACCTTCTACTTCTTCTTCATCACACACGTGTTTAAGGAACGAAGCCCCTCTGTCCAGAACAGCTTCATCCTCCATCCTATAGTAATAGAAGAGAAAAAAAGAATGCTCAGACTTCTCCTGAAGTGAGCCACTTGAAGCAGCCCAGCTTCTGGGCAGGTTAACCTGCAAGCTGTTATTCATGTTTGCAGGGCAGAGTCCCTCTTCCTCTGGTGGCTGTCACTCCTTCACGCAGCTCTTCTCATCTGGTGCTTGAGAATGTGCTGGCCCCACATAGCTTCAGTTCTAACCTTGAGAGGGCAGCCACATGGAGAGGTAATAGAAAATAATCCCAATCTTGAAGGCTGGATGGTAAGGGAGATTCTCCCTTTGGGGAGTTGCAGAAGAGAAAAACAGAGATGAAAGCAAAAGAAGAAGAAGAAAAAAAAAATACCAAGAGAGGAAGTTTGATGTGTCTGGAGTGTTCGTGATGATCGTTTGTGGAAATCCAGTTTCGGTGCTTAGCTCTTTAAACACCCACTGCACAAAATGTATACCCTCCTAGGAGCACATGCACACCCACCCACACACAGAGCGACAGGGAGTTAGTCTAATGCACAGTGGGAGCCTAGCTTGCAGCCAGCCTCTTAATACCAGCCCAGGATTCTGTGTTGAGTGGCAAGCGTTGAGTCACATGTTGGCCTTACAGCAATCTGACATCTGAGGATTATCTAGCACCAGGGCTACAGCAGTAGGCACATATACATGCCACCCATCCATTCATTTCCACACTCCTATCACGTGTCTCTCTGTGCGCTGGATGCACTGTTAACTCTTCTCTGAAGGGCACGAAGTTCTTCATTTTGTAACCACGCTATGCTGTCCTCCTGTCTCCTTACATAATAGGATCTACTCTGCAATTTCATATGCTAAATAAGACCTCAGAATCTATCCAAGGAACGACAGCGTTTTTTTTCTTTCTTTTTTTTTTTTTTTTTCAGTCTCCCGGTGCCAAACATGTTTCTAGTTTACAGAATGAGTGAAGCTTTATTCCCTTACTCTTGGCTCCGTCGCACTGCATTAACTTTCATATACAGAATTCCATGAACTCTATTTATAGTGGAAGCAGAAAGAAATCCTGAACTGCTCAAATGCCGCTTGTGTAGTACGGGTCTTGTAACAAAGAAGACTTTCGCGGGGACAGCTGCTCTATGTCATCCCGTATATGAGCCTTGCCAGAGAACCACATGTTCCCTCTGGATTCTAGTCATCCAGTCGCATGCTCAAGCACTGGAGATGCTTGAGTTTGTTTTCTATATGGTCTGTATAACTTACTCTGGTGCTTCAAATATTTGCTATAGTCTAGGCAGAGGTGCACTGAATTCAGCTTTTCCCTTCCCATTTTAGGAATATAGCTCCCTTACCCAGAAATCACCTTTGCATAAAAGGTCAGAAGCAAAAAACAGAAATCTAATTCAACCACTTAGTACTTATGCCACCTGGAGCAAAGTACTTAACTTTTTTGAACCACAGGGACTTTTTTTTTCCTTGTATAAAATTAGGGTAGTCATATCAATTTCACAGTGACTCAACACAATACTGTCAACTCTGCCTTGATTGCTCTGAGATTCGAATGAGGTGCCAAACTTAAAAGCATTCAGCATCGAACTTAGCACACAATAATTGGTTTTATAAATGCGGTTTTCTAGGCCAGTAAGGTATCTCAGCAGGTAAAGGTGCTTGCCTCCACGCCTGGTGACCTGAATTTGAACCCTAAAACCCACATGGCGAGGGAAAGAACTGACTCCACACACAAAGACACAGACAGACAGACAGACAGACTGACTGAGGCAGAGATATATATACACACATAATAACATTCTATAATAAATAAGTTTCTTTTTTTTAAATCTTCCCTTTTTTTCCCTTTACCAGCCCTGGAGAGTGATGTCATTAAGAAATTCATTACTGGTCTTCAGCCATGCCACCCTGACGGCACCCCATCTCGTCTAATCTCAGAGGCTAAGCAGGGTTAGGCCTGGCTAGGACTTGGATGGAAAGAAACATAGGACTTTGGGACCCTTCAAGAGTCTTCTTTTGGGGATATGAGCCCCATGCAAGACGGCTCATCCCGACACGTCAGAGTACTTCTCTGTACTCAAACTAAATGTATAAACAAGATATGGGTCAGTCAGCAGGATTATAGTGGGAATGAAATACCTTAAAGACTAAGAAGCCAAGCCATTTACCAATCTCTCTGAGCCTTGGGTTCCCAGGAAGATTAAATGATACAGCGTTACTCACGGGTTCAGCAAATATTTAATTACTGCTTGCTATATTCCCGTTACTCTTGAGAGGGAGGGGAACAAATCTACAAATAAGACAAAAAGTTCCTTTAAAAAAAAAAAAAACCCTAACAATGAACAAGATAATGTCAGAGAGCAGCACTGAGATCTTTGTAGAGAGTGATGAAGCCCCACGGGTTGTCTAGCCTTCCAAGCCAAGGGAACAGCAAGTGACAAGGCCCTGGGGTGGGAAAGCTTAGCACCACCCAGGAACTGATGTAAGGTCTAGACAGCAAGGGGTCAGCTGTACAGATGACACTAGAGAGAACCGGGTCATGCAAGCCAGGAGAAGGGAGTCAAAATGGAAGGTATGGTCTGTGTTCCCTTTTGCAAAGGCTCGCTCTACCTGTGGCGTGGGAAACACATGGTTAGGGAGCGAAAGAAACTCCCAAACTAGCACAAGAACCAAGGGGACCGTGTGAGAAAGAGAGTCCGTTCTGTACACTCTAAGGCTGAGATGTGCACCCTGCGCATAAAACGTTGCTGATGGGATCGCAGCCGCCTGGGCCTGGAACGAGAGGGACTTGCGGCTGGTACTCAAACATGGCAAAGGTCATGCACCAAGCTGGGGCTGAGGTTATTACCAGACGCACTCATGCAGGAAGGAAGAACAGGTCCAAGGGAGGAGACTTGAGCCCATCTGTTAAAACACACCAACATCCCCAAATCGGGCAGTGAGGCAAGTGTACGTGGGGTATGAGTGACATCAGGGAACTCAGAGAGAGCAGAGAACCCCACCTGAAAGCTGAGAGAGACAGAGATGGGGAAGCAAAGTCTGGCTTTGGCAACATGGAGGAAGCGGTTGAAACAGGCCATGCTCAGTGTTGGGGGAAGACAGGAACAGAGAGGGTGCTCGTCTGCTCCCTCTTCTCTTTCCTACCTCCCCGCAGTGAGGAGGGGAGTAAATATTAGCTGAGTATCTACCGTGCAGCCTGCATGCTTCGAAGTGCCAGGGATACACAGTCACATCGACCTTCTTAAAGACTTCCCCTGGAGGTCAGGGACCAGTCCAAAGTGCAAGGAGCCATTAGTTACCCAGCATTTGTACACACAGATAAGGATGACAGCTTAATGAGGATATTTTCTGAAAACGCCACTGAAGTTTTTAAGAACGAAATCCCAGAGATCTACAGTGCTGCATGGACCCTAACTGTGCCCTGTTCTCTTTGGAAAAATAGAAGAGTTTGTCCCTCATCTCTTCTCAGAACTGACCCCAGGTCAGTCAGCATGCTGAATTTAACACAACTAAATGTAGACTTCGCTTCGGACGCTCTCACCCATCGGGCGGGTCCGAAAATATTTTGTTGTCTCTTGATATATTTTCTAAAGAAAACATTTAACCTCGAAATCTAAGCCTTTTCCAAAACTGCATGCCACAAGCCAAAGAAAAGGAAAAACAAGAAAGCCAGAGACGATTGGAAAGGAAGGTAGAAAAGCCAGTGCACAAGCCCTCTTGGCCAAGCTGAGAACACTGCCCAGCCCCACCGTCTGAGTAGGGAGTGGGGGTCATGATTGGTGCATTCCTTGGCTCTTTGATGCATAGTTCACATTCCCTTCAAGCCTATACATAGCAAGTCATCAGAACTTCCTTCTTTCTGATGGATCATGCAGAGCGCCTGAAAACAGACCTCCTCTCTACGGAAAAGGGGCAAGTGAAACAAAGCGAAAACATAAAACCTGGCAGCCCTTGCTCGGCCTCAAGAGCAAGGTCATCCTGGTGAACTTGGCCCTCTCCACAGACCAGAGAGATTTCCCCGCTTTCCCCATCTTTACATGACACATATCAGTTCTTCAGTCTTACGTCCTCTTCGCAGTTGCTGGCTATTATTAGTAAGACAGAGATACCATGCAAAGTGGCTGACCCAACCATTTTCCCCTCTATAAATCAGTTGGAAGAAATTAACTCATCCAGTCCCTAATCAGGCCCCCAAACCCATCCTTAAAAATGTCCTTCGCACGTGCCCTGCATTCTTGCTGAAAATGAGGAGGAAGTGTGCTTCCACAGAGCTTCAGCATTGCTCACATCACTAGCATGAGGCAGAATTCAGAACTGATTTGGAAGCTCCTCACCAAGCATCAGGGGGTTAAGAGTCACACCAGTCAGGGTAAAAATCCACATTGGGTCAACGCGGCCTTCCTTCCACCTGGGCTCTGATCGGAGAAGTGATACCCCTGCCATACAAGTCCAGACCCATGATGGGGCTGTTCATAGTCTCCGTTATTCTGGGATAGCAAAACGATTTAACTGGAACACGTGTCAAATGGTCTGCCAAATGGGCAGGCCTCTCACCAGCCGGTCCTAATCACTGAGCAGGCCTGTGAGGGTGACTTAAGTCCGGCACGAGAAACATTTGTGCAGAACTGTCAGCCACTGGGCCCCAAGCACCCATCCACATTCCAGCCCTCGGGAGATCCCACCCCCCTGAGCCTGCGCCAGCTGCCAACGTGCTCACCAACTAGTACTCACAGCGCCAGCAGCTGCCACTCAGCCAGTCAGCAAGTGGCAGGCCGCCAGCCCACAAGTCTCAAGAACACCGGCCTGCTAGTCCCAGTGCTGCTAAAGGTTGAAGGTCTTCGGGTATGCTAGCCTTGAGATTCGCCTCACTTGCCCTCCTGCCTCCCTCTACCATCCTTTCCTGCCGCCGCCGCTGCCACCACCACCACCACCGTGCCTCCCACGGTAGCAGTTCACTTGTCTCTATGGTAACAGCATCTGGTTTCGGAGTTAGAACTTCAGGCAGCACAGTTCTCTCTTAGCCTGGGGCTTCTGCCAAGGGGTGCACCAGCAAAAAGGCGGCTAGCTGCCTGAGCTGCAGCCACCTGCCTCCGTGTCACTGCAGGATGGCAACTCTGGGTGGGTTCTTGGATCGTGGCATCTAAGTGCACGGAACACACACACACACACACACTGTAAGTGCAGTGTGCTAGCCACAGCGGAGAGGGGCCATGCTAGGGCTTGTCGTCAGGGTCCAAAACCAGCCCCTATCTTCCATAGCCTGCCTGAGCCAGGGTGGCCAAAGATGAGTGCCGTCGGGGACTTCTGACTGCTTCCAGAGATGGCACCAGGGAGCGGGATGACTCCAGCTGTCAACATGTCCAAACTAGAGTCTGACATCACTGGGTCAATGTGTGCACGCAGCTTCAATTTTATGAGTTAACCTTGTATGTAAATTCATTCTATTTTATCCTTGCCAGCTTGGTCTGTTTATGACATCCAACGAACCCCATCACCTCTGGCTTTACAAAAGCTTTCCTGTACACAGCAAACGTTAAACAGTGCTGTGCGCACGTGCCCTAAGGCACAGACATGTATAGG